GGGTCACACAGCTACTAAGTGTCAAGTGTCTGAGGCCAGATTTGAACTCAAGTCCTCCTCACTCCAAGGCCAGTGCTCTATCCACTGTGCCACCTAGCTGACCCCACCCTTTTTAAATTAATTAATTTATTTTTAGTTTTCAACAATCACTTCCATAAGCTTTTGAGTTTTTAATTTTCTCCTCCTCCTTCCCTGCCTCCTTACCCCAGATGGCATGCAATCTGCTATAGGGCTCTATATATACATTCCTATTAAACATATTTTCACATTAGTCATGTTGTAAAGAATTAGAACCAATGGGAGGAACCACAAGGAAGAAGACACAAAACAGAAGAAAAAAAAGAGAAAATAATGTGTATTCAGACTCCACAGTTCTTTTTCTGGATATGGATAGCATTTTCCATCATGAGACTTTTGGAGATGTCTTAGATGCTTGTATTGCTGAGAAGAGCTAAGTCTATTAAAGTCAGTCATTGCACAGTGTGGCTGTTTTGCATGTCTTCTGTGGCTTCCACAAAACTCCCCAAAATTTCTGTTTAATTTCTTCTGCTGACCCTTGATATACGTGGAAACCCGTGATGGAGAAAGTCGCAAAATGGAAGTGATAACTGTACTCCTCTTTCGGGTAATTTATACCCTTTCCCCTTTTTCAGCTCCCTTCCATGTGTTATCTTCCCCCATTAAAATGTAAGCCTCTTGAGGGCAGGAACTGTTGTTGTTTTAACATTCCTAGTGCTTAGCATAATGCCTGACACATAAGTGCTTAATAAATGTTTCTTGCTTGGCATCCAGGAGTTTACATTCCAGTAGGTGAAGACTGCACATAAAAGGAGAGGTTGTAGGGAAAGCGAGTGGGAGCAAGATGGAGAGACAAGAGTGGCAAGCCAGGAGGGAAGTCAGCCTAGGGCTGACACTTCTTCCAATGGGGTTCCAGGCAGTTACTCACCAAATGGGAGGAGCTGTCCAGCCTCCAGGACAAGAGGGCTCTCCAGTGGGCGAAAAAAGGTAGAAAAGTCCACAAAATTTGTCAAGTTTCCATTTGCTCACCATGCTTGGGATGAATATTATTCTGTTTCCTCATATAGTTGTTTTTATGTTTCAATCTGTAATCTTGCTGGAATTTATTATAGGATGAGGTGGAGACATAAATACACTCCTATTTTGGGGGCTTACTGCTACCATGATTCTCAATGACAAGAATCTTTCCTACTATGGTAGGCAGAGTGAATTAGTTTTTCAGGGATGAGAATTTGTTTCTATCTTTCTCTGCTCCCTTCCTCTACTTTTATCATCCTCTGAATTCCCCCCACCCTACCCCCAGCCACATCAACTATGTTACTAGAAAAACTAGACCAATAGAAGAAACTGCCTCCAGAATAGAAGGTCTCTCAAAGAAAGGGCACAGCAAGCTGAATATTCAGAGATCCTATTGACTAGGTTATGATGTGAACTTCAAAAGGATGAGCAGTCTGGAGGTACCATTGGTACCAAGAGCAGTGGAGTTAGTGTCGGTGTCTCCAGAACAGCAATGATTAACAACAGCATTTGAGAGAGAAATCAAGAACAAACTAGACACTGTTGAAAAGCAGCTTCAGGGAGTGAAATCCCTTATGGAAAGAGCATGCCTTGGCTCTGGGCTCCAAAACGGCACTGAAGCTTGGAGCCCAATAGAGCATTACACCTAAGGAAAACCTCGTGAGCTCTCTACAAGGTAGAAAAAGACTTCTAGTCACCAGAAGCTGTGAGTTTACCTTTTGGTTCTACACATTCTTTAAGTTTGAACTCATTGTCCCCAGGACATAGTGTGTGTGGAGGGAGTACACCCTTGATTTCAGAGGATTAACAAATTGGATTTTTAAAAATTAAATTTAAAATTAAATTAAATTTTGTTAAAATGGTTTTTATTGATGTTTTACATCATTATATTTTCCCCTAGTATCTCTTCCTGTGCCCCACCCAAAAAGTCATTCCATTTAATAAACAACATTTTTAAAGACTAAAAAAAAAAAAGAAGAAAGAAAGAGAAAGAAAAAATAAGCATAGGTGATGAATACATTAAAAATAACTGAAAATATATGCAACGTACTATGCTTGTGGACATCCAATCTCTACAAAGGGGTGGGGTGGAGGTGTCTCCTAATACCTCTTCTTTGGAGCCATTCCTGTTCTTTGTAATTTTGTAAAATTTGCTTTTGATTGTGTGTGTGTGTGTATTCTTTCTATTTGCATTGTTCCAGTCATTTTATATATGGTTTTCTTGGCTCTGCTTACTTCACCCTATATCTGTTTATGTGGATCTTCCCATGCTCCTCTATGTTTATCCTATTTCTTATAGCAAAGTAATATTCCATTACATTCATGTGCCACAGTTTGTTTAGCCATTCCCCAACTGAGGAGCATCTACTTTGCTTCCAATTCTTTGCTATCATAAAAAAAGTATTGCCATATTTTGGTATACGTACAAGGGCATTCTCCGTATCAGTGGCCTCTTTGGGGTATTATCCTAACAGTGGAATTTTGTGGTTAAAAGGTATGGACATTTTATATTCACTTTACATAATCCAAATTCTTTTCCAAAATGGTTGTACTGATTGACAGCTCCATCGACAATTCATTAGTATGCCTATCTTCCCATAACCTCCCCAACATTGACTATTCCCATCTTTTGTCAGCTTTGTCAATTTTCAGGCTGTGGGGTAGGAGGATTTTAAAAAAATAACAGCTGTCTATGCTATACCTTCTCAGTAAATACCTTTTCTAAAAAGCTAATAGAGTTCAACTGGTTAATTGATAATGGGGGGCTCACCAGTGGAGGCTCATGGATACTAGAAATATCACCAATCCCTCAGGGTTAACCCTGAGAGGAGAAGGAGCAGCCCTGGGGACCTGGCCTCCTAATTCAAGCAGGAACTGGGGAACTGAGAACAGAGTGTATCCTACACAGGAAGGTAGAATATTGTGAATGTTCTCTATGTATAAGGCTTTTAAGGAATAGGGTGCGATCCTCTTTAAGGGATACTTCTTTTGTTTGTTTGTTTGTTTTAGGCAATTGGGGTTAAATGACATGCCCAGGGTCACACAGCTAGTAAGTGTCAAGTGTCTGGTCTGAGGTCGAATGTGAACTCAGGTCCTCTTGACTCCAGGGCCGGTGCTCTATCCACTGCACTATCTAGTTGCCCCTCAAAATCTTAAAAAAATGAATGTTGAAAACTAAAAAAAAAATTAAAAATAAAAAAAAAAAAGTGCCCAAAGAACCATTGAGTGCCAGCCCCCTCCTCAGTTTTCAGAGGAGAAAACTGAGGTGCAGAGAGAAGAAATCCCTCTTACATGGGTCTCACAGGAATGGAACAGGGTAGGACTCAATCCCAGATCTCTTTGTTCTTGGCCACAGGCTCTTTCCTACCCACTCTCACTCCTAGTCTCTTGCAGAGGTCCTTTCACTCCCACTGCAAGGCTGGTGGGAAGGCCACAGAAGCTGAGGCCTGAGAGAGAAGGGGAAGAGTTGCTCAAAGCCATCAACAGTGTTTGTTTGAGGGGATGGAGCAATTTCTGCTGGCCCAAAGGAACCAGCGGAAGTAATCTTGTGAAAGAGCAGGTTGGAGATTATGAGAATAGGTTTCAAAACCAGAGAGGGTTTGAAAACAGGTGAATGAAGCTCATGGAATCCAGGGATGGATGATGGCACCTCCATCCATCACAGGGAGCCAGAGGGGAGGGGAAGGACCCCTCTTTTAGATATTAGTCGAGGATGGCTAGACCCAGTGGGGATCTAGAACTGTGCCTTGTTCAGGAAGGCTTTTATATGCAATTGATAGCATAGTTTGTCAAGCAGGAAGGAGCTGGTGAGTCTTAGAACACAGAACACAGAAGACCAGAATCTAAATGGAGGGAGCCAGCTGGCTTAGAGCAAGAATATTTTTCCCCCTCTTAAAAATTAATTAATCAATTAATCAATCAATCAATCAATTAATTAATTAATTAATTTTAAGTTTTCAACATTCACTTCCACAAGATTTTGAGTTACAAATTTTCTCCCCATCTCTCCCTTCTCCCCACCCCACGATGGCAGGCGTTATGAATATCCATTCCCTCAATTTGCCCTCCCTTCTGTTATCCTCCTTCTGTTATCCTATTCCCCTTCTATTTTCCTGCAGGGCAGCATAGATTTCTATACCCCATTGTATATATATATATATATATATTTCCCAGTTGCATGTAAAAACAATTTTTAACATTTGTTTTTAAAACTTTGAGTTCCAAATTCTCTCCCTTCCTCCCTCCCCACCTACCCTCATTGAGAAGGCAAACAATTTGATATAGGTTATACATGGGTAGTCATGTAAAACACTTCCATAATACTCATATGTTGAAAGACTAAGTATATTTCCTTCCATCCTATCCCAACTCCTTTTTATTCTATTCTCTCTTTTGACAGTATGCCTCCTCAAAAATATTTGCTTCTGATTACCCCCTCCCCAAATCTGCCTCCCTTCTATGATTCCCCCTTCTCTTATCCTCTTTCCCCTCTATTTTCCTGTAGGGTAAGATAAATTTCCATACCCAATTGAGTGTGTATATTATTCTCTCCTGATGAGAGTAAGATTCACTCATTGCCTTTCACCTCCCTCCTCTTCTCCTCCACTGTGAAAGCTTTTTCTTGCCTTTCATATGAGATAATTTACCCCATTCTACCTCTCCCTTTCTACTTCTAGTACAACCCTCTCTCACCTCTTAATTTTATTTTTTAGACATCATCCCTTTGTTTTCAACTCACCCTGTGCTCTCTCTCTCTATATATATATTAAGTATATATATATATTCCCTCTAATTGCCCTAATACTGAGTACTGAGAAAGGTCTCATGAGTTACAAATATCATCTTTCCATGTAGGAATGTAAACAGTTAAATCTTAATAAGTCCCTTATGATTTCTCTTTCCTCTTTACCTTTTCATGTTTCTCTTGAATCTTGTATTCAAAAGTCAAATTTTCTGTTCAGCTCTGGTCTTTTCATCAAGAATACTTGAAAATCCCCTATTTCATTGAGTGTCCATTTTTCCCCCTGAAGGGGAAACATTCAGTTTTAGTGGGTTAGAGCAAGAATATTATCATCAGAAGGGTATCTAGAACATTGACTGCCAGTGATGGGATGGAGGGCTTAAAACATAGAATGTAAGAGCCAGAAAGGGTTTTAGAAATTGAAAAGCAGACCATGTGAAGGAGGCCCCACAGAAAGACCACAGAAGATAAGGTGCCCCCTCACAGACCCTGAGTTTCGGCATCACTGGCAGGAGGTGCACAGGTAGAACTATTGCCTGTGGTTACAGTCGGGTTAGACTCCTCACTCAGAGCCCGCTCCAGAGCAGCTGGCAGGGATCTGAACAGTCTTTCCCTGAAGTCCCGGCCTAAGAAGACATAGAGCAAGGGGTTCAGGCAACTGTTGACAAATGCCAGGGAGGATGAGAGAGGGCTCAGGTAAGGCAGAACATCTAAAAAGTGTGAATGGCTGGAGACAGAAACCTCTATCATGCCCACCATGTGGTGAGGGAGCCAGCAGAGGAAGAAGGCGGCCACCACGGCTGTGAGGATCTTGAAGGGCCGACTGGACTTGGTGGTCTTCATTCTACTCCAGAGCTTGACAGTGATGAGGCCATAGCAGACAGTAATGATGAGGAGTGGAATTACAAAGCCAAGGATGAAGCGGCTGACCACCAGTGACCGGTGGCGGCTTTCAGACAGGGCATCATAGTACTCCTCATCATCTCCTGCCTCCTCCCAGGGGTCAAACTCAGGGTAGCAAAGGGTGGTCTCATTCTCTGTGTATGTGGTCCTGAAGATGACTGTTGGGACAGAGAAGGCCAAGGCAAAAGTCCAGGCGCCTGCAGCACCCAGGGCAGCTCGACGAGGTGTGCGGTGATTCCTGGCCCACACTGGCCAGAGGACAGAGACACAGCGGTCAAGAGAGATGAGGGTCAGCAAGAAGACGCTGGCAGACATATTAAAAATAGCCAGGGAGCTAATTAGCTTGCAGAGGAACCAGCCAAAGGGCCAGTGGGGCTGCAGGGCGGTGCCAATGATGAGGAATGGCAGGAAGGCAGTGAAGGTGAAGTCTGCTGAAGCCAGGTTGAGGAACAAGACAGTGGTGACCGTGCGAGCCATCCGGAAGCCTGCCACCCAGATCACTAGCCCATTGCCAGTTATGCCCAGCACAAAGGCTAGGCAGAAGATGATGAGTGAGATGATCCAGAAGGCCTGGTGGACGGCAGTTGGTGGTGCCTCTGTGGGGAAGAGGGCGTCTGAAGCATCTGAAGGGAGCACTGAGGAGTTCTCCATCATGCTAGCACCTGGGACACACCAATAACCATTAGATGGCAAGCCCCTCGAGGGCGAGAACTGGTTTTGCCTTTATTCCCCCTCCCCCACCCCCCAGTGCTAAGCACAGTGCCTGGCACACAGTAGGTCTTTCATCAATGCCTGTTGACTTGATTGGAATTGACCAAGGATTTCCTTCAAGGCTTCCAGCCACTCAGCCCTATGCTCTCCCTGATCTGGCTGCTTGACTCTGGTCACTTTCCTCATGAGAGTCTCCCCTGCCCAGACCCCTCCTCCCCTAGGTACTGGAACCCTAGGATCACTGCCCCCAGCCTCTTCTTTCTGAAACCTCCTATATACTTCAGAGAGCCCTGGGTTACAGTCTGGGTCCCAATTTTCCCAGTTGTGTAATGAGTTTGCTGAAAAGGATGGTCGCTAAGGTGGTGCGTTCCATGATTTAGATTGAGACATCCCAAGATGTCTTAGGATGCCTGAGCTGGAACTGGCTTAGAGACCACTTGATCCAAACCCCTCATGGTACAGATGAGGAAACTGAGGCACAAACAACTGAAATCCTTCCCCCAAATCCCATAGTAGCTTAACGGAGCCTTGCTTCAAGCCCAGGCATTCTTTTAATAGTGTGCTCACAATGTCAGAGGCAGCTGCTTGCAGTGTGTGTGTGTGTGTGTGGTGAGATAGCATTGGGTTGGCTCCATTGTCCCCATTTCCAGCCTGGCACTTATTCTTTGGCCCTGCTTTAAGCCCCTCTCTTGTCTTGTCTTTCCTGCTTCCTTGGCATGCTCTCTCTGCTCTAGTAAAGGCCTGGTTTCCTGTCCTGCTGGGATCCTTCTCCTGTTGCATTTCCCCCCACTTCCCACCACCAAGAACTATGTCCAAGGACTTCTAATCATGGCATCCTGAGGCCTCTGGCCCAGCTTTGTGGTATGACCTTGGACAAGTCTGTTCTCCTTCACCTGGGTTTCATTTTCCTCATGGATAAAATCTAGAGGTTGGTGCAGATTCTCTCCAAGATCTTTCCCAGCCCTTATATTCTCTATTTGAAATCCTAAAGCCCCTTCCCTCCAGGGCCATGGAAGGGTGGGTGATCCAGCATTGGGTAGAGCCTTGAATTGAGTGGGTGCTTCAAGGGAGAAACAAACAAACAAAACAGTTAAGAGTGCAGCTCCAAGGTGGTGGTCTGGGGGAATGGCTTCTTCTTGACCATGGTGGTCTGTCTGCCTCTTGCCTCCTCCTCCTCTCACAGGGGTGTTTGAGTCAGTGCCCTATCCACCTGAGTTAGAATGTTACCTCTTCTGCCCTGGGTGTGGTTTGAGATACTTGGTCTGGGCCCCAAATTCTAAGCTACAACTTTGCTTCCTTCTGTTGCATTCCATTTCCTGAGGCCCCTCCTAGCTCTGACATTGGATGTTCTGAGTTCTAATGGGCTGCTCAGCTCTGACATCCCATGTTCCATGTTCCATGGGTCCTCCAAGCTCTGTCATTCCATTTTGCAAGAGCTCTTCCAGATCTGACATATAACATTTCAAGGACCTTTCAAATGCGTCATTCCATGCTCTAAGGGATGTTCTATGTTCTAATGAGTTCTTTCAGCTCTGAGGTTCCATAGGTCCTCCAAGCTCTGTCATTATTCCCTTAAAGCACTGATATCCCTACTCAGATTTTCTCTGCTCAGTTTATTCTCAGCTCTGACCTTCTATGTACTAAGTACTGTCTCAGCCCTGACTTTCCATACTCTAAGTTCTAGAGATCTTTCCAGGCCTGACATTCTGTCAGGTTCTAAGACCCTTACCAGTTTTAACAGTCTTTGTTCTAAGGTCTGTCTCATCCCAGACAGTGTTTTAAAGTTGTTCTGAATTATATGTAATGGGGACAGGCTAGAAGCATTTCCAATAAGATCAGGGGTGAAACAAGGATGTCCATTATCACCACTGTTATTCAATATTGTACTGGAAACCTTAGCTTTAGCAATAAGAGAAGAAAAAGAAATTGAAGGCATTAGAATAGGCAAAGAAGAAACAAAGCTATCACTCTTTGCAGATGGCATGATGATATACTTAGAGAATCCTAGAGAATCAAGTAAAAAACTACTTGAAATATTAAACAACTTTATCAAAGTTGCAGGCTATAAAATAAACCCACATAAAATAGAGAACATTATGAAGAGCAAAATGGACAATTTTGATTACATTAAGTTGAAAAGTTTTTGCACAAACAAAGCTAATGCAACTAAGATTAGAAGGAAGGTAGAAAATTGGGAAAGAATTTTTACAACCAGTCTCTCTGATAAAGGTCTCATTTCTAAAATATATAGAGAATTAAGACAAATTTATAAGAACACAAGCCATTCCCCAATTGATAAATGGTCAAAGGATATGAACAGACAGTTCTCAGATGAAATTAAAGCCATCTATAGTCATATGAAAAAATGATCTAAATCGTTATTGATTAGAGAAATGCAAATCAAAACAACTCTGAGGTACTACATCACACCTATCAGATTGGCCAACATGACAAAACAGGAAAACAATAAATGTTGGAGAAGATGCGGGAAAATTGGAACACTAATACATTGTTGGTGGGGGTTGTGAAATGACCCAACCATTTTGGAGAACAATTTGGAACTATGCCCAAAGGACTACAAAAATGTGCATACCCTTTGATCCAGCAATAGCACTTCTAGGGCTATATCCCAAAGAGATCATACAAATGGGAAAAGGACCCACGTGTACAAAAATATTCTTAGCAGCTCTTTTTGTGGTGGCAAAGAATTGGAAATTGAGAGGATGCCCTTCCATTGGGGAATGGCTGAGCAAGTTGTGGTATATGAATGTAATGGAATACTATTGTGCTGTAAGAAATGATGAGCAGGCTGACTTCAGAAAAACCTGGAAAGACTTATATTGTCTGATGCTAAGTGAAGTGAGCAGAACCAAGAGGACTTTGTACACAATAACAGCCACATTATGCGATATTGTTAAACTGAACTCTTCTCAGCATTACAAGGATCTAAGACATCTCCAGAGGCCTTGGGATGGAAAATGCTGTCCACATCCAAAGAAAGAACTATGGAAGTTGAATTGCTATCACTTATTTTTACCTTCTGTTGAGTTTTGTTTCATCTTTCTGATGGTTCCTCCTATTGGTTTTAATTTTTACTTACAACTTCACTAATGTGAAAATATGTTTAATAGGAATGTAAATGTATAGCCTGTATCAGACTGTGTGCTGTCTTGGGGAAGGTGGTGGGGAGGAAGTGGGAGAAAAATTTTCAACTCAAAAGCATATGGAAGTAATTGTTGATAAATCAAAATAAATTAATAAAATTTTTTAAAAAAGGAAAAAAAAAAGTTGTTCTGAGTGCCGACATAGGATACTCTGTATTATAAGATCCCTCCCAGCTCTGACATTCTGTGTTCTAGGGGCTATCCCAGAACTGATAGTTCTGGCTTCTATGTACTAAGGATCTTTTCAGCTGTGATATCCTTTTTATCACAAGTTCTAAAAATCACCCCTAGCTCTGCCACTCCCCTTCAATGACTCAACTGCCTTGATTTTTCCAGGCCCTCAGAGACTCAGATGTCCTCTCCCAATCCTTAGCCTCGTAGGAATGTGTGTTCCTTGATTTTCCCCTTCAAGGTCCCAGGTGCAGAGGTTTCCCAGTCCAGACTTACCATGCGTATTGATGCTGCACTAGTGTCTCGTCTTCTTTGAGGTTAAACTGAACTTCAGGGTGAAGGAAGAGGATTGAGAGATGTCTGTGGCTTACTCAGAATTGAGTAACTTGTAGTCAGAAGAACACATCCCCTCTGCCAACAGACATCTGCTAGCCAGGAGGGAAAAGCAAAGCCCAAGAAGCCACCAGCCTTTCTGGGGGACTCTGGGCTTGAGTCCCCATTCCTCATGGGCCCTCGTCCTACTCCTAATTACCTAGCAACCATGTTCAAAGATTCAGGTGTCCTTCTCAGCCACTTCTTCACACTCTGGCAGAAATCTGGGTAACCACAGCGAAATCATTTTTCTTCAATGGTTATCATTTTTCCTATTTGTAAAACAAGCATGGTTCATCCTTTCACTCGTCCATCAAACATTTTGTTTTTGTGAAGTGGTTTAAATATCCAAAGGAAGACATCATATTTGACCCTGGAGGTAATAGAGAGCCATCAGAGATTACTGAGTGGGGAAATAACATGGTAAGATTGGATATAGAGGTGAGTGAGGGGGAGGAGTTGAGGATGGTGCCTTAGTTGTGGGTCTGCATACCTCAAAGGGTGAGGATGTTCTCAACAGTGAGAGGGAAGGATTTTGGGGGAAAGATAATGAGTTTAGTTTGGGACGTGGTGAGTTTGTGCCTGGCACATGGTAGGCACTTAATACATGTTTATTGACAGGCTGACCAGCTCTCTTACTATGTTCCAGGCACTGTGCTAAGCACTGGGGATACAAAGAAAGCCAAACCAGTGCTGGCCTCAAGGAACTCACAGTCTGGAAAAGTCTGGAAGCTTTCATTGGGAGCAAGGAGTAGTCCAACTCCCCTCACTATGACCATGCAGTTAGGGAGTGAGTAAATGTGCCACAATTAATGGGAAGTGTGGGTTGGGAGCCAAGCTCTTGAGGGAGCCAAGTCTCAATGAGGACCTGAAAATGGAGGGAGTGACGCCCATAGCGTCATGGGCTGCAGGCTTCTCAAGGAGGATAAAGACTGAGAAGAGGCCATCCAATTAGGTAATTAAGAGAGGAGAGTCATCTTTGGAGAAAACATTTTCAATTGAATGCTGTGGTCAGAAGCCAGACTGCAGAGAGCTTAGATGAGAAGGAGGAGGGGGTAAGTGAAGGCACTGAGTATAGACAGCCTTCTCAAGAAACTTAGCCAAGAAGGGGAGGAGTTGGAAGTGAAGGCAGTTCATGGCGCATTCTGCTCTTTTGCAAGGAAGACCCATAGAACTTGGAATGTCAGAGCCTGGAGGGACCTTAGAACACAGAATGTCAGAGGTGGGAAGGCCCTTAGAATATGGAATGGCAAAAGTGGGAGGGACCTCAAAATAAAATGTCAGAAGTAGAACATGGAAGGAATCAAGCATTTTTTAAGTGCATACTATGTGCTGGGGACAGCTAGGTGGTGCAGCGCCTGGAGTCAGGAAGATATGAGTTCAAATCTGGCCTCAGACACTTGCTAACTCTGTGACCATGAACCTCCACCTCATGTAGTTTCTAACTGGACCTCCACCTCAACTCTTTCCACGTTCCAGTCCATTGTCCAAGTAATTACAAAGTAATTTTCCTAAAGCATAGGTTTGGCCATATTTCTTCTATGCTTTCTACTCCACTCGATTTGTTTCAGCTCATCATCTGTAAAATGGCCACACATTGGAGAAGGAAATGGCAAACCACTCTAGGATCTTTGCCAAGAAAACCCAAAGGGGTTATTTCCTCATGGATTAAATCTAGGAATTGGTGCAGATTCTCTCCAAGGTCTTTTCCAGCCCTGACATTCTCTGTTTGATCTCCTAAAGCCCCTTCTCTCCAGGGCCGTGATGAGCACGGGTGATCTAACATTGTCTAGAGCCTTGAATGGAGTGGGTGCTTCAAGGGAGAAACAAACAAAAATGGCCAGTTAAGATTGGAATTCCAAGGTGGTGGTCTGGGGGAATGGCTTCTTCTTGACCATGGTTGTCTGTCTGCCTCCTGCCTCCTTCTCCTCTCACAGGGGTGTTTAGTCAGTGCCCTGTCCCCGCTGAGTTAGAATGTTATCTCTTCTGCCCTGGGTGTGATTTGGGATACTTGGTCTGGGCCCCAAATTCTAAGTTACAACTTTGCTTCTTTCTCTTGCATTCCATTTCCTGAGGCCCCTCCTAGCTCTGACATTGGATGTTCTGTATTCAACTTGTTTGTGAAGAGCTTTAAAAGTCCAACAGAAGACTTGACCTTTGATCTAGTATATAGCTTGGTGGTGCAGTGGATGAAGCCCTGGTCTTGCAGTCAGGAAGACCTTAGTTGAAATGTGGCCTGGTGTGACCCTGGGAAAGTCATTTAGTCTCAGCCTGCTTCAGTTTCTTGGACAATAAAGTGGGGATAATACCAACTACCTCCCAGGGTTGTTGTGAGGATCAACTTGTTGCTGTGAGACACTATTTGTAAAGCACTCAGCATAGTAACTGGCACAGAATAGGTGCTTAGTGATCATTTCCTTTCTTTCCTTCCTTGGAGATTACTGAGTGGAGGGGAATGGGGAGGAGAAGTATGGCCAGACCTAGGCTTTAGGAAAATTGCTTTGGCATGGTAATTATTTGGACAACGGATTAGAGTGAAGAGAGACTTGAGCAGGGGATCCAGTTAGAAGCTACAATCCAGAAGAGACTGAAAAATCAGGACTGAATTAAGAAGGCTGCTCTGTGAGTGATGAGAAAGACACATATACAAGGGATGTATGTGAAGGTAGAAACCAGATTTGGTAATGGGTTGGGGGGAGTGGGAATGAGGAGTCAAGAGGGATACCAAGGTCTCAGGACTGGCTATATAGGATGATGGCAGTGCCCTTGACAGGAAGAGAGAAGTTCGGAAGAGGAGAAATTGATTCACAACAAACTGTAGTCCTTTGTTAAGCATTTACCATGTGCCAAGGACTGTGTCAAGCTCTGGAGAAAGAAAGAAAAAACAGCCCTTGTGCTCAGGGAGCCCACATTCTAAAGGGAGAGACAACATGTAAATAAATAGGTACATACAAGATGTTGTAAGTACTTCGTTTTCGAAGAGGACCAGTGACATCACAGGGTGATGTCTTGAGTCATGTGAGAATTAGACTTAAGTGAGGCAGAGTTGCACGCAGTCATTGGCCTCATCGAAGTCCAGTGGCAAGACAGAAGTCAGGATGACTGGTGATGAACGGGATGCAGTGGATGACCTTGGCACCATCTATGTCTGACCAAGCTCTAACTGCCCTACAAATTGTTCTCATTTGTCCATTCCACCAGGGGGAGTCTTTACATGTTGGAGGGGGGAGGCACCCCTCTAACTCACCAGTGGGTTTGAGCCCTGTTAGTTACCCTCAACTTGGATACACATAGCACCAATGGCCTGCAAAAGAACTGAGGGGCAGAGTGACTGGAGGTCACAGTAAAGACCAAAAACAGGGTTAGGGGTCATAAGGCAGAGGGAAATATAGAATGATAAAAGATAAGAGCGGATAAAGGGATTTCAGAGTTCATACATATGGAAATGGAAGAGTTGTGGCTGTTGGCATGGTCAAGGGAAGAGCCATCTCTGTGTGTAGCTGAATTAGTGGTTACTGGTCATGGGAACTGCACAGACTAAGTAACTGAGTAATTAGATGTTTGAGGGAGCATCAGTATTTCTATTGAAGTGCCCTATAAAAAGGACAGGAATTGAGGAAGAAAGAAAGGCTATGAATTCATCGAGGAATGAAGGAGAATGTTTTGGTGACAGTCACTAGGATGTGGATTGGGTGATAAATTTGGACTGAATGAACCTCGCAGAAAGAAAGTTGCTGAGTGATGGTAGAGGTAAGGTCTTTCAGCATTCATTGGGAGCAAGGAGTATTCCTACTCCCTCACCATGACCATGGCATTGGGGGTTGTTAGTAAATGGGCCACTATTACTGGAAGGTGTAGTCAGGGAAGCAGGGGAGCCAGGTGTCAGTGAACACCAGAGAATGAAGGGAGTGATTAAAAGTGTCAAAGGCTGCTGCTCAAGGAGGGTAAAGATTGAGAAAGGACTATTCAATCCGGCAATTAAGAAATCAGAGGTGACTCTGGAGAGTAGTTTCAGCTAAATGATGAGGTCTGAGGCCAGATTGCAGAGGATTTAGAAGAAAGGGAGAGGAGGGGAAGAGGAAGAATCTAATAAACAACTTTTTTCAAGAACCTTAAGCAATAGGGGAGGAGTAGGAGGGAGAGGGAGCCTAGGGATAGAGTTACCAAAAAAGAGAGTCCTCGAGAAGGAACTTTTAAATCCACAGGAGACAACATAGGGAAGGTCAGAAGGAATTGCAGATAAGCAGGACGCTTTGAAAGTAACTTGTGTGGTTGATTATCTACACATAGATGTATACACACACCCACACACCATCTGACGGAGAAGGCTACCCTGTGTGTAGTACGTGGCATGGATAGATAGAGAGCTGGAATTTGGCCAACTCCATCTCCAAAGGAGACTGATTTCCACCTTTGTAGAGGGAATGAGGAGGATCATAGCTGGAATTCTTTAGTCTCCTCTATGATATTAGATTAATTATACCATATTGTATAACATTCTATGTATGTAATACTCTATTTATGATATTCCATTTTTGAAGAGCATCAGTGGCCTAATGGGGTGATGTCTTGACTTTTGAATGAATTGGATTTAAGTGAAGCAGAGTTGTACAAACTCATTAGCCTCACTCTGTCCTCCAGAGTCATTGGGGTCCAGTGGCAGGACAAAAGTCAAGATGATTGAAGATGGCCTGGGATGCAGTGGATGACTCTGGGCCTTTGATGTCTAACCAAGCCATAAGCACTCCACAGTCTGCTTCAGCCACCTTCATGGCCATTGGAACAAATGGTTCTCATCTGCCCATTCCACTGGAGGAAGTCTTCACATGCTTGGGGTAGACAGACCCCTAACTCACTGATGGGTTCAAGGCCTGTTGGTTGCCCTCACCTCGTTTAGCCCATCTGCCCAGATAGTTTACTGGGGTGTGGCCACTGCTCATGCTACAGCTTCTTGGAGCCACGGGCAGGAGTTGAGTGCCAAGTGGACACGAAGGTAGATGAGTAGCCCTGAAAACGGCTCAGCAAGTCCTCACATCAGAGGCACTGAACACCCCAT